ATGAACAGATTCTTTGTTTCATATTTTTACGAATCTGTCTAACACGTGTCTGCACGATACTGCTTAAAATATTAATATTTTAAAATTTTAAAATTAAACAGGAAAAATGTACAAATACAAAGTACGATAATAATTATTAGTATGCATTCACGTGATAGATTATGTATGATTGAAGTGTTTTAATAAGTGTTAATTGAGTACCCGTTAAAAAAGTCATATTTTATTTGACTCTTTTATTCCGTTGCTATTTCACATTTGTAGGAAACTTCAAAAACAAATAGGGATTAGCCGTTTTTCATTGAGATGATAAACTAAAAGTAAGAAAAACTTTAGGAAGATTTTTTTTTGTCTCTTTAGGTTCGTAACTTTGTATAACAGGCATTGGTTAATGGGCATAGGTAGTAAAAATTAAATCAAAGAGTATATAAAGGTCAGAGTAAGAGAAGTGACAAATGTAAAAATGTATGCAGATAAAAGGCCAAAGATAAACCCGTATTATCCACCTGCCAATTTTAGGCAGCAATCATTAATAAAAGACCAAAGAAAGCTTATTTTGTTTTCATTTTTTTTTCTTTTCCAATTTTCCTTTGGTCTTCCCAAAAAATCAGTATTATCTAATTAAGATTTCAACATTTTGGGTGCGTTTGATAAAATTAAAATTTAAAAACTGAAATTTAAAATCTAAAGTTTGAATCCATTAAGTTATTGATCTGTTAAATATTAAATCAAATACATTTGAATATATATATCATATTCAATGATAAGTGAATAGTTTATCACTTAATTTTGGAAGCAAGTTTTACCTAGAAAATTCAGTGTCATTTAATTAATTTAAATATTTAATTTTTAATTATCAAACGACTTAAATATATTAAGATATAATTTTATTAAATTTAAGTCCTAAGTTAGGTTATCAAATGGGTTTCGTGTCCCTAGCGAAAAAAATATAATAAGAAACACTCTCAGCAATCAAAATCCCTGCAGACAAAGTCCACAAATGTAAATAAGACTGGAGATTGGGTTGGGCTGGGCTGGGCTGGGTTGGGTTGGTTTGTATCCAGAGGTCCATACTCCGTAACGTGGCAGATGATGGTTGATAGATGCTACTGGCCTTGCTTTTGCTCTTCTTCAGATGGTCTGCCACATCCATGATCGAACCTCAGAAATTCGATGTTGAAAAGTCTATGGCCATATCAAAAGCAGAACATGCACACGTACTATGCCAACGCGATGCAATGGACGATAAAGAGATGCCATAATTTTTGAATGTTCTACCAGCCTAAAGCCAATAAGCTTTACCAACCACTAGATATTATAAACACGTGTTGGTGATTTTTAAAAGTGTCAATTGCAACCCAATTATGTTGACTCAGCCAAATTCACCCACTAATAATTTGCCTAAATCCATTCATTAATTTTAAATGAGTACCTAATTAAAATCATGTAATTGGTGGATTGTATATTGACTTGACTCACCCGTTTAAAAATAATTACACATTTAAATTCAACAATATTTAATGAGTGTTAAGCAGATAAATTTGAATTCATTATCAATTTCATAACAATAAAATACTGTTATTTCTTGTCAGACAACATACAAAAAAATGAAAAATAAGTAGATCGGTAAGTGACTTATAAATGGATAATTGGATATACCCATTTATACTCCATTCATATCCATTTCTTTAAACGAATATAAAGGGGTTGATCCAATTATACTTATTACCTAATTATCACTGTCCAACTCTGTCCAATTCATCTATTTTGACACCTTCAACGATTTTGTTAATACTAAATCTAAGAAATTTTTTTTTTTGCTCCTTTCCCCATTACACATGAATTCGTAGCTGCAAAATCTTGAGTGAACTTCAACTTTGAGATTACTCTTTTCTATTTCTTGTTGGGGAACTTATAATTTTCAGTTTAATTAAGCATCTAATATCTATGAAAAAGGTTCATCAATACTTATGTCAGCTGTAAACTATATATAGCAAATTTCAGTCCATTGTAAATACTGCAATGACAGGGTAGGGTGTGCAGAAGTAGGTTAGAAGCTAGTTACCTTGAGGCACGCCCATCAAACTCTGTTCCAAATGGTTGCATGCAACTTGGAACCTGAAGATCTCTTAATTAGTATGGTTTTTAATTCACGAATGAAAAGAGAATTAGGGTCTAATAGGAATATGATGATTTCCATGTGATTGAGATTACGCAGGAATTGCCCCCGACGGGTTGCTCGGGTGGTCGTGTAGCTCTCTTTAAGGTGAGACGGCTTGGGTTCGATCCCGCGCTCAGCAACCCGGCGTAATTTCCTGAGAATCGATGGAGCCCGCTCTCTTCGGGGTTGGGGGACTAGTCGGGTTTAGTCCCGGACACCCCCAACTGAAAAAAAAAAAAAAAAAAAAGAGATTACGCAGGAATTGTGGAATTGACTAAAGGGAGAGAATTGTGATGATGACGTGAATCCTTTTCAAGAGGGTAATCTATTTATGGGATGTTGTGTAGGCTTAAAAGTTACTCTACTAAACTTCATTGAGTCGTGGAGACCCAAGAACAAAAAATTTATTACCCTTATTTATTTATTGTGTTAACTTCTCTTGAGGGACAAATTGCACTTTATAACATTCTTTTTTTTTTTTATTATTAGATTGTGCTTTTTAACTTCTAAGCATGGTACAGTATTCTGGGAATTAACAACGTGTGTGTCAATGAGAGATATTAAGATGTGACTAATGATTTTGTGTGACAGACCGGAAGATTGCAACTCATCGATCACTTTGCACGAAATATGCCCAGCAAAATGCATTTTTTTTAAAGCAGCCAAACAATAGTGGCCCAAGCAACGTTGTCGGCCGCGATTTGAAGCCTGGAAGAAAAGCACATCAGAGCAGGTGATTGATTATGGCAGGCTTTCAATCTTTAATGTAGTCCCATTTTATAGAAATTAAATTCTTGCTTCTGTCAGCAACGTAATGGGATCAAGTTAGTTAACCTGGGTCCTGTTTGCATCTTTAGTTTTTTGGTGAGTTTTTTTCTGCGAGTTTTTTTTAAAAATAATTTTAACTACAGAAACCCTAAATTTTGATAATATTCCTTCTAATCCTGCAATTGCCCCCTCTAAAAGTGTTAAAACTTTTTGCAATTGCTCTTACCTTTTCTAATGGAACCTTGAAACAAAATATACTACACAATGTTACGATTTTTTTTTCCCTTACTAATGTTTTTGATTATGTAATATTGAACTTTTTTAGGTGTTCAATAATATGAATTACAAGCGCAACAAACATCCCTTTAACAGTCCAATTCTGTTGTACATTACTAGCCAAGTTTAGACACTAGATCTTTACTTCTTGTAGTTTTATGCACATTTTAAAGTTTTATGCAATTTTATAAAATAACATGACCTGATAACTATTGCAAATGGTTAATTACTAGTATAAGATTTTTTTTTTTAAATGTAATATTAAATAAATTAATTGGTGTACTTATAACAAATATTTAGTGATACTAAAAAATTCTAGACCAACACATTTTACATTTAGACTAACATTAGTATTGCACCCCGTGAACAAAGGTCTTAACTCCGCCACTGCAGTCTCCATTCATCGAATAGGAGCGATGAGAGTAACACTTGATTAGACTTGGAGTTGTAGAGTGCCCTTTAGATTTGACTTTTGAGAGTAACTTCAGCCAGTTTTTTCTTTTGTTTTTTTGGGTCAAACATATAGATACACACACGCACTAAACAATTTAAACCGTGACAACACGCGGGAAGCTAATTTCCCTAATGTCTTCAACCTATATAGTAAAAGCGCGAACGGATCTGTTAAGAATGGTGGTTGTTGTGCTGATGTGGTTGAATGGGATTGGTTCAAGCGTGGTCGTCTGCCACGGGGATCTCACGTGCTGAAGCTGAAGAGAAGAATTGGCTACATTTTCCTGTTTTTCTTTTCTCTTGCTTTGAAACAAGTTGTTTTCTTTTACATCGAGGGTTGATTCTTTTACCCAATGTGAGAAACCCATTTGAAAGTCACCAGGTCCGTGTCTACTTTGTTGTCAGAGTGATTAGCTTGATTTATGACAAGTGGTGGTGTTGGGCTCAATGCTAATTTGTTGGTTTTACAATTTTGACCTTACTCTTGTACCCAAAATTACTAGTGCTGTTGTGAATCCTTTCTTGTCCCCATGGGCTTTTGAGTAAAAATTGCTTCTACCGTCACTATTGCAATCTGCCAAATAACAGCTTTTACCTCTTTTCTTTGATGGATGAGAAGACTGATGCAATTTCTCTGCACAATTTGCACACCGACCAATATCATCATCAAGGTCAGTGATAATAGTTCCTTTCTTCCGTTTTCCTTTGTTGCTTTGTTGCTGTTTCTTGCACTCTGGTTAGCTCAGCTCCTTGCTTTCTATTTTCTAAATTCAAACTGTTTCTTGTTTCTCTCTGCATAAAATTTACATTGTGCTGCTGCATTTTTTTATGCCTTTTTTTTTACAAGGTTTATTTTGCTAATTAAACGTTATTTCTCTCCTCTCTCTGTGAAAGATAAATTGAATCTTCTCCATCTTTATCTTCTTCATTTGAACAGGTGAGTTTTTTGGTCGGTAAGTATCTCGATTTTCTTTTCTACTGCAAGAAATAAGACAAAAAAAAAACAAGGAAGCCATGTGGAAACAAGAAGCAATAAGGGAAAAAATAGGTCTTCGGCATCTTCATCAGAACATGTGATTTTTTTTCTCAGTAAGTATTTTTATTTTTATTTTTTTGTGAAATTTATCTTTATCGTCAGTTTTTTGCTTCGTAAGTATTGATACTTTTTTTGCCTGCAAGAAAATAGACAAAAAAAAAAAAGCCACATGGAAAGAAGCAGACAAGTTAAAAACTGGATCTTCAGCATCTTTATTTTGTGAAATTTAAAAAATCACATGTTCTAAGCAAAAAAATCCAATCTCTTAAAATTTTTGAGTTTTTTATTTATTTTTATGTATATTGTTAGTCTTGTTTCCCTTGTTTAGATCTCATCAGAGAGATTAAGAAAGCAAATAAGGATGAATTTGGATATGGACGCCTGTGTTGACAAGATCAAACAGGAATATCCGTTTATTTTTATGTATATTTGTTAGCGTTTTTCTTCCTTTATCGGATCATATGAGAGAGATTAAGAAAGCAGATAAGGATGTGTTTGGATATGGAGGCTGTGCTATTCATCTACCCATAAGATTCAAACGAGACTTCATTTTCTCATCCACCAATGTCCTTACCTCCCGTACCTTTCTCTCAAACTCTCTTTTCAACAAGTCTCTGTTGCCACAGAAGGAAGAAGTTGATTGATCTGACATTGAGGTACCCTACCATGCTCAATTCTAAATCTTAGATTTTATTTTATTTTTACCTATTTCGCATCTCATCATTTGCTCAATTTTTTTGTGGTTTTTTTTATTTAGGTTGGAGAAATCATCAAAAGGTAAGCTTTTTGTGCCCTAATTTCTTATTTTCTTGCTTTATGTATTACCTTTTCCCCCTTTAATTTCTTTGCTTGACGCCTCTTAGATCATTATTAGGTTTCTGCACAATTCTAATAATATAATGAAGTTTGAAAGGCATTTCTGCATTTAAAACAGTAGTATTTTTTCAGCCAAAAATAACAAAAGATGCAGATATTTAACTGCTGACCTCCTGTTTTCTTAACAAAAGACAAGAATTGGTGGCTTCATGTTATCTTAGTGTTTCTGTCGCATTTTTAGAGAAGTTTTTTTTAATGATTCTACTATATCTGCTAGCTTGGTTAGGGTTGATGTGTAATTATCATATCAGATTGTTTGGAAAGTTTGTTATGTTGTTATAGGGAGTACAAGAACTTTACAAAAATGCTAATTTATTCTTTGTAATTTTTCCTCTTCTGATTTCTTGTGTATTAGTGGAAATCTTATGTGATTCTATGTGTCCTTTCTTGTGGTGCATTGCGTTGTTGTCCACTTGCTTAGGGTGGTTCAAAATTCTTTCATGTGTTCGCCTATGGTGCAACAAAAGTAACTTTAAAAGTTTCTAAATTTTTAACTGTTTGCTATTTTAAGTTTTAGGTTTTTTGTTATCTGTTTAAATTATAGACTATTTGTTTTCTTCTTTTTGTTATAGGTGTCTTTATTTTCTATTGGATTTTAAATGTTTGTTACAGGTTGAGCTATTAAAATTTGCAGTATGGTACAAAATGATTAGGGAATTTTTTTTCTCAAGGTGAGTTTTATTTGGGTGTTTTTCCTAAACCAAAAGAAGAAAAAGGGAAATGGTCTGTTTAGTGCAGATCTAAGGTTTTATCTTCCTATTTTTTTCCTTGTGTTAACAGATTTTTTTCCCAACACTTTATTGTAAGTTTTTGCTATCTTTATGCTATTATTGGTCTTTAGAAAGGTGCAGGATGAAGATTAATAATAATGACCTATTTTGTCACTTTGTATGTTGTCGAAAGAGGCAACCAAAATTTTAATGATGTTTGAATGCTGTTAGAATAGTACATGAGTGTATTGTTTCGTCATATTGTATACCGCCACAACATAGAACAGGGAAATGATAGCAGTAAATTCGGACTTTGGTAATAAGCCTGATATAGAAACAACATTTTTAAAGTGTGATCGTTTATCATTCTATTTATTAATTTCTAATATTTTGTGAAGATTGCCTTTTCATTCAGTATGTGCTGCGGCTGCTTCTTTTTATTATACCAACTAGCTGGCTAAAAATTTTGTTGGGATTCTTAGGTTGTGTTTCTATATTTTCGCCCCTTGTTAATTTGTTTTGATTTAGCTTACCTTTCTTAAGATCCATTGTTTTGTGCCTTCTGGTATTGTCAAAGTAAATCAATGCTTGAGAAAAACAAGAATTCGTGACTTTGTGTTATATAGATTTATAGACAGTAGTCTTTTTTTCTTTGTTTCTGCAGCATGAAGCCAATGGTTTAAACCATATGGAATCAATTTGAGGAAGCTCACGATAATCCTATTGCAACTGAGCATGATCCCTTCACAATTATCATTGCCATTAGAGTCAAAGTGACAACAGCCAACTATAACCATCTGCACCTTTTTTTTCCCTGCGTACTTAAACATTTTAAATTGAACATGTTAATAGTATCAAACATAATCTTTCCCTCAACTTAGTCATTATCAGTGATTCTTATAATTCCACGTTTTCGGGAAGTTGTGAATCTACGTGATTGTTATAATTTTTAAATTGTCCTGTGCACTGATCTCATGATCATTATTGGATTTTTTTTTTTAAACTTCAAATCAGGTTTCAAAAGAGTGAAAACTAGAGAAGTAATATAGATATTACTACTGGAATATAGATGTTTGCTATCCAGAGAAGTAATGATGCTACTAAGAGTTTTTTTTTCTTTTTTTTTATAATACTGAATGTCATAAGCATCTACTATGTCCTATGAAGGAATTATGTCATTGCACGTGTTAGAGTTTGCTGGGTTTTCACAAGTAGAAGAATCAAAATGTTACATAAATTCAATTGTAGTACTTGTTATTTGCATAGAATGGTAATTTTTGCCGTACTATAAAAAATACTGTTCTGAGAGTGTATGACCTTTTTAGAAAGTTGGAAGGAGAGAACTGCAATTGGAGTTTTGGTGTTTAAATTCGATTTAAATATGAATTGCAAACTCCTCTCACTACTAAAACCTATCTATTGTCTATGTGCAGCTTCTCTCTGAGACCAATAGTCCATCGCAAAAGAGTGAAAAGCTTTACCTTCTAACTGTTGGTTGTTATAGAAGTGGTGAGCATTCAAGAAGCCTGCAGCTTGTATAGAAATGTTTGGAGGTTAGTTCTCTGCTCCCATTAGTGAAATTGCTCATAGTTTAACATGCTTTACCAATATTAATTGTCAAAAGAAAGAAACTGTAGAACTTTTGGTTGTATTCAAGAGTGGTGCTTTTATCCCATTGGTTTTGTCTTTGTTTGCTAGATTAAACTTGATTGGAGGTAGGCTTTGTACCTTGAGAAGGCAGTAAAAGAACAAATTACAAAAGGTGATAACATATTACTTTGAATCCTCAGGATTTTTTTTTTCGAGTATGGCAATACATGAAATAAAAGTTTAACTTTATGGTGCAGATGGTGTCATTGGAATTGGCATTTCAGTTACTGCTGTGGTACTTATAGCTGGTGGAATTATAACTGCATTAACTAGCAGAAAATCATGACGACGGATTGTTATTTTAAGAGTAATTTCCCTGATTTGCGGTTCCCAATCTTCGAAGATGATGCATTTTAACCCTGCTAACTATGAACTGATGTCCTTTCTATTACTTTTAGTTGAAGTTAAGACTTTGTAAATATCTATTTCAATGGATTTCATATGGTACCTCCGGATCGAAGCATATTATCTCAACTAAGATGTCCCGGCACTCTGGGCAAGCTGAAAAGTCCTATGCGCGGTGTTCACCTCCTAGTCCTCCAAAAATGGTGGAAACAAAAGAAGGCATTACATCAAAAAACTATCAAATCTTAGTTCCCGTGCTACTGCTTCTTTTGCTAGAGCATCAACAAACAGCTCGATTCTCCTCTCCATATTTAGCCACAAAACCTTCGATCAGAAGCCTGATTCACCTATGAACCACCATTAATTTTTTCTCACTTTTATATATATCCCTTGCCTTTCTTGATCTTACAATCTTAGATTAGATTAGCCATGTGTTTATGAGGCTGAATTACTGGGGGGTCTTAGGAATGGCCTTCAAATTTCTCCTCCTCAAGTTCTATTCATTCATTCATTCCCTCTGTTCATCTTAGACTAGATTAGGCATGTATTTATGACGCTTAATCACTTTGGGGTTACATGACATGCAAAGTCATTTGAAACGTCTTTTTCTTAATTATACCTACAGCCTAATAGCCAGCCAGTCAAATGAAGAGCACAACTTTGCTTCGTCCCAGACCTACGACCTTATCATGTTTTCCAAAAAAATCTTGACCCGCACTCTAGCACGACCATTCCAAAAGAAAAGCCTAGAGACCTCAGAACTCGGGAAGCTTCAGTCCTATTGCAATGAATAGTTGGCATATTTTCTTTCCTTCTTTCTTTATTTGAGAAGAAAATTGTAGCAGTGGTTCTCTGATTGCAGTGAGGTAAACTCGATGGCATTGGCTGCCAATAGATCAGATGCAGAAATTTCTACACAAAAAAGAGTATAATTGAAAGTGCAGAGCATTATTTATTGACAAAAATAATAAGGTTGAGGATATTATAGATGTCAATTGAGTGTTTGGAAATTCTCTGATTTGCATAGAAGACGGTAGTATAACTAAACATATCTTGGATTGGGAGGAACTTTTCTTGCATTTTGTGAGTTGTTCCATATTTTGGACAGGGCACAAAAGATGCCCGACATCTAATGCTCTCAACAATTTTCTGATTTTAAGAATGAACTTCTTCCCTACTAATCATATTAGAATTCTTCTATTGCGTGCCTACTCTTGGTTTAGCGACAATTAAAACTTTAACACTAAAGTATCTTCAATTCAAAATTTTATCCTCACAAATGATATCGTAACCAACTCTCTATACAAGGCTTGTTCTAAAAAAATCCAACTCTCTATATTGATAGGAGGTCAAAAGTTCAAATCTTGCCTTCTATCAATATGCCTCTATATAAAGGTTGTTCTAAAAAAATCCATACGAGTGCATCTGGTCTGATAGTGGTTCAATCCCCATTAGATTTCTCCGACTCAGTTGGACCGTCTCTTAGAGTAGGTCCCAGTAGGAATAGATTGGATTAGATACGTCATTACGTTAAAAAAAAAAAAAAAAACTCGCTGCTTTGTTCTGCTTATCATGTGCTCACAAGGCACAAAATAAAATAAAAAAAAAATGAAAAAGTATGCAAATTTTCATTTATATTCTTCTTGTCACATGAAACCATGCTACGTGGAGGCTCCTTATTAATTTTCAGCATGCAAGTCCACTTTTCCACCGTTTACCTCCTTTATGGCGAGATGTCACAGCTTACCAGCTGGCTTCAGCTAGTCGAACACATTATTCTGATTTCTTCTTTTATAAAAAATTGCTAATGCCTTGTGAACCAGAAAATATGCTCTATAGGAAATATAAGGATATCTATTTCTTTTCCTTTTTTAATTTTTGTTTACCAATTATTGTATTTTGTGGTGTTGCCAAAATTTGTACTACTAGCTGTTTATCTAGGTCCATTCTGTTTGAGAGCCTAAATTTAATTTTAACATAGTCCTACGACCATACTTGAAAATTATCAAATTCGGACATTTTCTCCCTCCCATCGGGCATGAATATGCTAGAATTATTCCATAAAAGAGTTTCGGCCGAGGTTGACTTGAAAAGAGCACAAACGAAAAAAACGTGCTATAAAACTCTCTCGAAAACACTCTTCGAAAGAGAGAGACACAAAAAGGGCAGAAATAAAAGTAGGCTGAGACTGAGAAAGGATTCTATTTCTTGATTTTGATTTGTAGTGGTGGAAACTATATTGGGTTTTTGTTTTTTCAGTAAAAAGTTGCAATCTTTGATGGTTTCTCTGGCTTCAATTCAAGTTCTTGAAATTTGTAAAGATGCAGCTGGAGGTGCAGGTATCTGCCTTTTATCTGTATCTCTTCGTTTCTCTTCTTTCTTTATTATTTTGTTCAATTTTAAACATTGCATGCAAGTCACATGCTAAACAGCTCAGAGATTGAAATTCCTCGTTGCTGCTCATTGGTTTTCCGTTTAGATGAAAGTGGCCTAATATTTGGTTTTGCTGGTATTAAGATAAAAAAAAGGATATGTTAATTGATAATTGCATGAGGATTTCTTTCAAAACTTTGGTATGGGCCCATAGAGTACAACTGCACAACAAATAGGGGAATTTTTCTTTCCAATCTTGCTTGCACCGTCACCCTCAGACAGTTGTTGACTGAATTACAGGTCCCGAATGGAATAGGGGCTTTCTTGGGAACTGTGCAACTAGTATTATATGCATACTACAAAAGTGCATCTAAAGAAGACACTAGAGAACCCTTGCTGGAGTCTTGTTCATAAACATGGAACAGATATACAGCGAGGTACATAAATCTCTGCTCCACAAGTACTCTATGATGATTAGGCCTTTCATTGCCTCTTATGCTGGTGAATTTGATTTCTGAACATGGCGTTGATAGTTGTCTCCGCTTGTCTCCCTAAAATTTTTTTTATACATATTAGACTGCTTTGTGATTGGTTCAGAATAGTTTGCGTTCGTAGTTTCTGTTTTATCCAGAGGAATCTTTGATGTCTGTTTGTACAACCAATATGAGCTGATCTTACTGCTCTGAAATGCTTGAATTGTGCTTTTTTTTGTTAGGTATTTCTTGATGATCTACACCCTGAATAACACTTTGCATACCTTCAAATCTCTTGAAGATTGATGAAAGTTCCTATGCAACATTGCTTTATGAGCTGCCATGTCATTACTTTGGCCTGCAACCAATCCTAGTCACATCCCCATCGTAGGTGGTCTTGAGAGTCTGGGTGAAGGATCGTTACAAATATATCAACACTTCCTGGTTTGTCCGACGTTCTGGTTTTCATGGTCTTCTTCTGCGCTGAGCCTTTTTTGTTGTAATTATTACTACTCTAAATGAGCATGTCAGTAATCTTTATGTACATGATTAAGATTGAAGCCGTTGTGTAAATTCATCCATTACAAATTTTTGAAAAAATTCCTGTTATCGGGTGCATTTAGTAGGATTGCAGAACATCATAGCGCAAGTATTTGAGTTACAATTCTCCCACTACCCAACAAAATGACCAAAAATACGATCCAGGTAAAGAAGAAATGAAGAATGCCACTAGCGGTGGGCTGCTATTTTGTCATGGAGAGAATATTAGACTGCATAATTAGAGTGGCTACCCCAACCGGCCTCTTGACCTTTTATGCACACAAGATACTTTTTTTTTTCCCCCGGAAACGATAGATGATTTTATTAGATTTCTGTATGAACTATACACGTAGTGAGCAAAGGCTCCATTAGAGCTATACAAGTGCCTAAAGGCACTGAGGAAGTAACCACTCCTCATCAAAAGAGACATGCTTAATGCATGATCACAAATGTTGGTTGTTCTAACACTAATTTCATTCCTAGCTAGAACATATGAGCATCTCACAAACATTGAGCTTAGATCCTTAACATACTGTAGATGAGAAAACAGTCTCATATCTCTAGTCTTGTTGGTTTCTATCATCCTCATCAGCTGCCTCTGAGGGATTCCTACTTCAATCCTCCTCCACTGTTGTTCCCTTGCTTTGATCATAGCAACTTTGAGAGCCATAGCATTATCCATCAGGCTATTCCCTCCACTGAATTCCTTTAGCGCCCACTAAGCCACCAACTGATTGTTTCTAGCCATTGCGTAGATACCAACTCCCATTTGACTGTCTTGTCCTTTGAGTTTTGACAGCAAAACTGATGTGGATTGGGGTCTCTTTGTCTCTGCAATCTTCCTGTGTTGCCCCAGCTGCTATTGTTTCTGGCATGCTCATCATGTTCTCTTTTGCATTTGCATCCTGGAATTCTAACCACTGCATTTGAGCTTTCTGAATTATCTTGATTGAAGATCTCCTGTTTTCCTTAAAAACTCACTCATTTCTTGCCTTTCAAATCCACCAAAGAATGTTTACAGTTAGTGCTATAAGTTCCATTCCTTCAGGTCTACTTCTGGCTTCTGTTAGAGTATTCCACCATCTTTTGAAGTTCCCGCTTTGGTCTTCAATTCCATCCCATTTCACCGGCGATAGATTCCATACTCCCTGAGCATTTCTGCAATGGCAAAGTTGATGCTCCACAGTTTATATGTCTTCACCACATTTCCACATATTGGAGACCCCTTCTTTGTCCTGCTGAATACTACCTCGTTCACAGGCAAGGCTTTGTTCAAGCACTTCCAGATGAAAATTTTCAGCTTATGCTTTACATTGAGTTTCCACAAATGTTTCCACAGATGTTTCTCTTCCAAACTTGTCTCTTCTCCTGATTGTCCTTTTTGCTTTTTGATTGCCTCCCTGCTCATTGAGTCCCTCGCACAAGATATTTGTAATACCACCTGTCTAGTTAGACTACTGTATTATAAGGTTTCTCCTTTGATCGTTAAAAGTTTGTACAATATTGTCTTTATGCTATATGCATTAGAAGATAGTACATTCAATGGAATTGCAACATTTCAATGCATAATTAAGGGCTGTGGAATGGTACTGGGTTCAAGTTTTCTCCATGCTGGAAAACAGCATCAGGGCTGGATGATAATTGAACCTAACATGGATCATAGTTTTACTGCTATCCGCTTGTCTGTTGGTTGAACAAGTAGCTGTGACAAAATTCGCCTGCTCAGGATACGTTGTTTGGACGTTCCTAACACGCGGAAGCACAATCGTTCTCACTTCTGCATTCTTTGGGATTTTGTGCATGAAACTAATGAAAACGAAAGTCCATTCCTGGGCTGGGATAATGGAACTACGGAAAAACACTCTTTCTCAAGCTATTCAGTCTTTATCACAATTGGCACCAAATTTGCAGTTTTCCAGCAGAGAAGAAGTAAAAAGAGTCTCAGTATTAGCCGTGACATTTCTAATTCCATACACGTGACGACGGTCAGTTTCTCAATGGATCTGGCATATATTAATGGTGCAACTCAACTCAGCGGGGGAAAACATGAAAGAAAGTGAACTGCAACAATCGCGAGAATTCAGTTGTAGGAATTACTCCTCCTCAGTTTCTGCACAGTTTTAAAAAATACACGGGGCTGATATATGATCCTTATCCGGAAAATGCAAATGCAAATGAGACACCAGTGTAGAATCAGGTGTGACATAGGATTGCAAATGCATAGTGCCCTGTTGTTCTACACAATTAATGAAGATGAAGATGGTGGATCATTTGGCTACTCTGATGATATAGATGCTAGCAAATAAAAATTAAGTAAAGCCAACCAGGGAAAGAATTGAAGGGAAGAACGTCCAGCGCTAGCTAGGTTAACCAACTTTTATGCGAAGTCTTCTTTCACATTTGTCTCTTACGGTTTCAACATTTTTAGCACCCAAACACACAGACCTCTCTTTAGACCTGTAGCAAACAAATTGCAAACTTATAATCTAAGATATAAGAGCAATTCATCATATCATAGTTCACACAAAAACATTATAAACAAAAGTTCAACTGGGAAGTACAATCCCAGAGTCAAGTGTTGAGTATTGACTGATATCTGTTACAGGAAGTCCCTCAGAGTAGTTCTAACAGAAGTAGATGGTCTTTCCTGATCACCCTGTCACGAATACATACACATCAATTTAGACGGAAATGAGCCTAACTTAGGCCTGCAAAAGACCCTATCACAAGTCTTTCAAAGTCTATACTCAAGAGAGTTTATAATCAAAGATAAATACCTGAAAATCATCAATACTTTGAATGTCACCGTGCTGATCAAGTGGCCTTCCTCTTTCATCATAGAGAATAAGCCCACTAAACCTGGGCAACTCACACTTCTCCCCCATCAATATAGGCCTTTGCCACACCGCAGAACTCGAATTATGACTCAACCTTCCCAAATTTTCTTCACACTTTTCCCCTCCTACCACCAGCAATGGTGCAGCTCTCTCCCTCTGACTTCCACTTAATCTTCTTTCTTCCAATTTGCTCACACCACTCCACCTCACCGAACCCATCAGCAACTCCTTCACAGCTCCCCATTTTTTCATCTGTTTCTGATCAGACCGCTTTGCTTCATCTGTTGCTTCAGTATTCATGCATGGTTCTTGATGAACTAGTCCACTTCTTTTAGCCCTCCTCTTTAGGAATGTGGCAAAGCAAGCTCCAATGACCAGAAAAGCAGTGCATGCAAAAAATGCTACAGCTTCTTGGGTTGATAGCTTCCACTTATCTTCTAATTTCCATAGAGCATCCATTGATTTGAGAATGATTAGAGAATTTCCTTTTTCCTGACGTGAAATTTTGGACAAAATTCCAAGAGAAAATGTAGCGTTGTAATGCTGAATGTTTTGCAAGGGTCATGTGAGAGTCACCGACAGATGGGCTTGGGCCGTCGGTCTCTTTATCGTGGGCCATACATTGAATTTTTATTTATTAGTAGCCGTTTGCAATTACTCACCGTTGAAGTCGGATTGATCAATTTCACGGGAAACTCCCTATTAGAAGTAAATAATGACATCAGCTACTGTGTTTTACTAGTATATATTTGTATTAGACTATTAGACTTCAATGCAACAGTCATGTTTTTTAAGTCATAGTCACTTCTTGTTGTGATCAAGCAATATTCTCTAACCAAGAAATCTTTCGCTCCCCAAGTACGCTACAAATTAATCGACCATTCAATGCATTCCCTGTCTTGATATATAATAAATATAGATTGTAAAGAACAATATAGAAAATTCAGATGCAAGGATTCTTTTTTCTTTTTTTTTCCCAGCAACGATAAATTGTATAACGTACTCTATCATAAACTAGGAGGAAGGAGAGTCTAAAGAAACTTGTGTTAGGGACTAGTGAATATACAGATTCAACTAGACCAAGAGAGTGTTATGACACTACCTTTAGATTTTTTTGCTGTAGGTGAGGAGGGACTTACTGAGCCAAGCTCAGTGGTTAGATGCAAGCATTCAATTGTACCAGAGATTCATATGGTCTGGCTCAGTGGTTGGATGCAAGCATTCAATTGCACCAGAGATTCATATGGTCCAAAAATTTGCATTTATTTCAGGCAAAACCAGTCCATGTTATAGCATTGGATCTTTCAAGAACTTCATCAGTGTTCAGTTAGTCCATACTGATGAAACAACCTTGGAGCACTATACAATGTACATTGCATGATGCAGCGGCAACCATATCTCAAACTTGCTGCCCTCATTAACATCAGATGTGAACCTTGTCAGAGTTAGGAAAATGATTTGGCAGTAAAGAAGGAAGGGGCTCAACAATTGCAAGAAAATTGTTTTCTGAAATTGGAATAATGTAGACAATCAATCACCTTCTTACACAATCATTAAAAATTGGAATGATGTAGCCCAATTCTCATGCGTAAAATGTGCCATCTATTTAGCAGTGGGCGCGGGTGAAGTACCCGCCCCATTCACCATTTTACTGATCCGACCCGCACCTTGCGAGTCAGCCATTTTCTGACCCTTACCCATCCCAAATATCAGCAGGTACCCTATAACGGGTACCTGCTGAGATAGAGTCGGATCAGCGGGTACCCGTCCCGTCCCATTTATCATTTAATTTTTTTTAAACAAATATTTATGCCAATTGAATTTTATATTTTACACATTCATTTAAGATTTAATAATTTTTTTTCTAAAAAAAGGTTTCCCATCAAGAAACAAGCATATGAAGAGAATATAAGATAAAGGAAAAAAATTAAAAGAATTCAAAATCAATAAAAGTTTGAAATAAGTAACACAATTTTTAATATATATGTTCCACATTAATTAAACTTTTTTCTATAAAATATAAGATCATGGCCTTTACAAATGAATCTTGTAAATAAACTATAGTCTCTCATATTTGTAATGCAATTTGTTCAATAAAATTACTTATTTAGTTCTAACTTATTATTTTATAGTGTGTGTTAAATATATATATATATATATATATATATATATATATATATATATATATATATATATATATATATATATATATATATGCAGGGCGGATCGGGTACCCGCGGATTTTTAATTATGTAACCCTAATCCGCCCGTATCTTAGCGAATACCCGACCCTCTTTTGACCCGATCAAAAAATAAAAATCGGATATCCTAATTTTCGGATCAGACCGGATCGGATATGACGGGTTTTCGGGTTAGCGGATAATTTTGTCCACCCCTAATCTATATTCATATATTCAAGTGTACAAGGAAATATTTTTACATAAAAATGTTTCAATGTTACACCTCTTTAATTGTTGAATAGTTAGAGTATGTTTGATAAAAACTAAAATTTAAAATTTAAAATCTGAAATCTGAATCCATTCACTTATTGAATTGTTAAGTAATAAATTTGATACATTTAAATATATATATATATATATATATATATATATATATATATCACATTAAGTGATAAGCGAATAACTTATCACTTATTTTTGAAAGCAAGTTTTGTTTAGGAAATTCAGCACCATTTAATTAATTCAAATATTCAATTTTTTGTTATCAAATGCTTATGAACATGTTAAAATATGAATTTATTAAGTTTAGATGTTAAATTGGGTTATTAAACAGAGTCTTAGTACTTCAGGTCCTCCTATTATTTCAAAGTGCCCCAGTAAAAAGAAAAAATAGAGATGTCAATTGGGTTTTTCGAGTTGGGTTTTGGCAAGTCTTGACTCTACTCATAAATTATACGGTTTTCCAATTTCAGGCTTTTTTTATTTTTGGCTAAAATTAAAAGGTTTAAACTCAACTCACACTATTATATGAGATTTGAGTTAAAAAATTGGACTCGACCCATGTTCATAATAAAAACATAATTATATATAATATATATATTATATAATTATGAATTACTATAAATTTATATATATGTGTATCTGTGTCTATATACATATATATATATATATATATTAATTGGCCCAGCCAATTGAAGCATAGACTCGGCTGGGTTTTTGGATTGAGTTTGAGTTGGTCCAACTTTATTGGTAGTCCTAGAAAAAGAGAAAGTGACATATAAGATCGTAGCTGAATTGAATTTAAATTAGTTAATCTTGAGCCCAAACGCTAAGGCCCATTTAAAAGGATCAAGCTAGGATTTTTCTGATATCCCAATTAAAGTCCGATGCGTTGCTCTGTGATCTCTCCGCTTCAGAACAATGCTATACAGTGTATTAGAAGCAATTGTTGCAGAAGAAATGCAAATTAGTAGTATCTTTTTTCTTAAATTTTATTTACTTTGGTAATAAGTTTTTAGGTAAATTACACTTTTTAAAATATCCTTTTCTAAAAATAAAAGTTTAACTTTAAGTAAGAAAATTTATTCTGATGGATTAAATTAAGGATCCAAAATTTAGAGATTCTCGATTCAAATCTCTTGACTCTCTCCGTTTTCTTAAACATCATCTCTCCCATAAGTTTGACTGGTTGAGTTCGTGACTAGGAGTGTTTCGGCTCGCGAGCGGTTCGAATACGAGCTCGACTCGAGCTCGTCAATATCGAGTTCGAGTCGAGCTCGAGATCAAAAATATTAAACTCGTTGGCTCGCGAGCTCAATTATATATATATTTTATTTTAATAGTAAAATTATATATATATCCCTAATATTTTATTATTTATTAAAAAAATTATTATTTTATTCATTTTTAAAAATAAATAATTATTTTTATTTTTTAAAAAATAAAATAATAATAATTATTTTTTTATTTTTTAAGCTCGAGCTCGAGCTCGAGTTCGAGCTTCACAAAATTAACACGAGCTCGGCTCAATTAGCCAAAATTTGACTCGAGTTCGGCTCGTTTGCACCCCTATTCGTGACTGCCTGAATTGGGCTGGAAACTGAATACTCTATAATTTTTCGATATTGGACTTGGCGGAACTCTAGTCCAAAAGTGAGCCTTTCTGGTCAGGCCTAGTCTGCTAAATAAAGCATGGGTCAGAAAGCCCAAAGAGCGGCTTAGAAAGATTAAGAAAAGAGGAGGCAAGAAACAGCATGAAACCAGAAAAGAAAGTCTAAACATAGTGGCATCTTTAAAGTCTTTCAAGTTTAAATGGGTTTAAATGCTCATCAATAATTGATATTCAGGGGGCAACAATTGATATTCAGGGTAAACTTCAGCAAAGGTTTGGTGACAATTTCATCAATAATCAGTAGTTAATACTGGCCTGAACCCAATTGTCTGGGGTTTATACTTTTGATTACAAAAGCAAAAATTCCCGTTTCAGTTTGCTCTTCCTTCGTCTTTCTCGCAAACCCCATCATCGATTCCAGGCTTTATAGCTAATAAAAGGTTAATCATCAGATTACCACTTGGCCCTTTTCTTCATTTTTCTATCCTTTTCTACCTGTATTCCTTTTGCGCTCATCTGCATATCTAGCCTTGAATCTGTCTGCTGAATTATCTTTACAGTTTTACTTCTTGATTCTGCTGTTAATTAATCTAATCTTATACTGGATTTTCTTTATGTTCTTGGAAAGATTTTGACTTTTTCCCACCCTTTTTTTTGGGAAGGCTGCGGTTGGCTTGTATTAATTGCATATATTCTCCATGTTTGATGGCGTAGAATCTTGATTCTGTTCCTTGGTCTGATAATGTCTTCTCAAATTATTGACAAATGCATATTTTTCGAAGATGGTTTTGCGTTAAATTCAGACTTTAACCGTTCTTTGGCGTCAAAGAGCGAAACTTTGACCATTGTTTATTGACTGGAAGATGACATTTGGGAGTTACGATTGGTCTACCAGAATACCTGCTACTAGGAATTTTTCCAAGCATCCACAAAATTAAAAGAAAATATTTAGCTAGTGATAGCTTTGGTTTTTTATTTATTCAATTTGATTATCCTTCATATGCTGACTGGGAAATACTTGTGCATCAGTGCCTAATTTATCCGCCATTCAGCTAGTGAGTTTTTGTAAGCAAATCAAGTGAAAAAAAATAATGGCTGGAAGAAATCGTGGGCCTCCTGTGCCAATCAAAGGTATTGCACATGGTGGGATGCTTCCACCTGTTCACGAATCTCCTCAGTTTGTGAGAGGCCGTGGGCCAGTTCCTCATCCTGCATTGCTGGAGGAAATGAGAGAACCACCGATGGGTATGGATCTTAGACAACTTCCTCCTCACCCTGCTATTATAGAGGAGAGATTGGCTGTTCAACATGATGAGATTCAAGGTCTGCTGATTGATAACCAGAGGTTGGCTGCAACACACGTGGCGCTCAAGCAGGAACTGGAAGTTGCACAGTTTGAGCTTCAGCGCACGCATGAGTATGCAGGTTTATTGCATGCAGAGAAAGATATCCAGATGAGAGAACTTTATGAGAAGTCTGTCAAAATGGATAGGGATCTTCAGGCGGTGGATAGCATGAGGACTGAACTTATGCGAGTACATGGTGATGTTAAGGAGCTAACTGCAGCAAGGCAAGAGCTTACAGCTAAGGCTCAATTGATGACTGAAGATTTGGCTAGAATGACTGCTGAGTTACAGCAGGTCCCTGCAATAAAGGCAGATATTGAAGGTTTGAAACAAGAATTGCAGCGAACTAGGTAGGAACTTTTGGTGCGTTTTGATTTATCTTTAGACTTTGCATCTGGATTTTTACTTCTTTCTTTCTTTCTTGGCTTTTAGGACTGCTATTGAATATGAGAAAAAGGGGTATGCAGAGAATTATGAGCATGGTCAGGTGATGGAGAAGAAGTTAGTCTCAATGGCAAGGGAGCTAGAGAAACTTCGTGCAGAGATGGCAAATGCTGAAAAAAGAGCTCGCGCTGCTGCTGCAATTGGGAATCCAGGTACCTGTGGGTATTTTATCTTGCCTCGCTGATAAACTGTTAAGCAATGGGCATATGAGATACGTCATCTGTTGCATTCACAAAAAGTTTAAATCTTGCCTCATAACTTAATTGGATGGAATTTTATAGTATGTAAAGAGCTGCACATCTAAGTGCTGAAAAGCAGCCTCGATGAATATTTTGTCAGGGGCCTTACATTTTATGAGTTGAAATATGCAATTTCAGGTCCAGGTTATAGTGCAAATTATGGCAATGTGGAAAGTATTTATCCAGTAAATCCCTATCCTGCTAGCTATGGCCTGAATCCCATGAATCCCATGCATCCTGTAAGTCCTATCTCTGGCCCTCTTTATCAAACACAAATACAAATACATTCTGTACGACAAAAACGCTTCCACTAGGCAGGGCTTCCTTTGAGGCCCTAGACTTATAGTACCTCTAGGAGACTAACATTTTTATAGCAGGTGCAAACTTCCATGGAAGGTTATCCTCAATATGGACCTGGACCTGGTACCTGGGGTGCTTATGACATGCAGCGAGCTCAAGGACCCAGATAAATAAGTCCATGCTAGACCGTGACCACTTATTTTACCTTACTAATATCTGGTACTACAAATTGGATATTGGCTTGTGTTGGATATGCTGTGTCATGATAGACTTCTTAAAGTCATGTTGGACATCTTTTTTCCTTGAGCAAAAGTAGACATTTTGTATGATTTTAATGCTATGTCCTTGCAAGGAAAAGGAAAATGTTGGTTTGTCCTGGCATATATCTACTGGTTTTTCCCATTTGTTCAAATAATTATAAGTTTGTCTCTGTTTTGGAACGTACGATGTACTGATGTGAGCAGCAGATTGTGCGATTCATATGTCTGAGAGCATAGAAAATGTCCTAGATGCTAGTCATTTATATTTAAGTTGGTGCTATGCCTTATTTTCTTCCATTGCTAGGACCAGTAGGGCATTCCTCCTTGATGAATTGAACTACGATTTGAAATGAGTAATAGGTAGACACAATAGCTTATTGGGTTTATAACATTGCATCCTGTAGGCGTCCTGTCTATCAATACTGGAGGTTATATCTTGTCTCCTTCATGTAGTAGTTGAAGTGATGAGATGGAGAAGATTTCTTTTTAGGTTTAGACAAGCTTCTGACCCTTATAAATGTAGCTTTTGCTTCCAAATTCAAGCAAAAACTAGAGCCTTATCAGTTTTTTACTTATAGCTGAACTTGTGGAATGAGGGCTTTTAGTGGAGAAGGAATTTTGAATATCTTAGACTTTGGTGCATTACAGATCTGTAGGCAGGTCTGATTTATTCCGCATACATCCTTGTGTGTTGGTTCCATGTTTATGTATTCAGGAGGGCGGCCACTGGGGTGAGGGGGGTGGGAGGTGGAGGGTGAGTGTTTCTTTTTTTTTTTGCCTCCCTTAATATGTTATTGGGTAGGTGGAGGGTGAGTGTTGGTTTGCCTGGTTCTGAGTTTCTATAGAGCTTGCAGCTTTTGGTTGCACCAAAGCTCTTCAGCATTCTTGTTATATTTGGCTTTCTATCTTTAACTCTTTTCGGCGGAATTGACTGTTCTAAAGCAGGCAAAGTCGACTCTGTGCAGTCGATGTTTCTAGCTTTTGATTTGATTGCTCAATGACTAGTTGGGATATGTTTTGTTCTGGTGATATTGCCTTTTCTTGCTCAGTGAGGAGAATTATTGTCTAGAGGATAGAGCGGATTCTGTTTGGTGTGGAGTCATCTGACTACAATTTAGTTTTTAGGTTTTATTTTTGTTCTTTCTACGTAAATATATTTATGGGCGCTCTATATCTATTGTCTAAGAACAGATTTTCCCCCTATTGATGTGTCTTTGTTATAGAAAATGTTGCTCAAAAGAAGTAGAAGGTTAGGATTGGCTTTTTGGGATGAGTGTCAGAGTATAAAGTGGAGTTGAGCAAGGCCTCTGCCCTCTAGTTTGCTAAAGGATAAGCTTCAAAACATGATCTTTTACTTGTTGAGCTAATCTTCCTGGTTGGCAACACTCTTTCTCCCTCTTCTCTCTCTTTCTCATTCTCTCAACTTCAAGGCCATAGTTGAGATAATCTTCCTGGTTGACAACACTCTCTCTCCCTCTTCTCTCTCTTTCTAATTCTCTCAACTTCACAGCCATAGCTTGAGAGGAAATTTAGTGTAGTACATTCTGTTAAAAAAAAAATATTCTCTTAAGCCAGCCGAATTTTTATGTGCAAACTATGCTGCATAGCTTTTGGGACCTGCAAAGATATGAGAGGAATAAGAATAGTCTTCTAACATTTATGTTCTCTTTTTTCCTTTTGGGGGGAGTCAGAGGAGGGGGAAGAGGGGGTGGTGGTGCAGGGTTTTTGTTGCATGTAGCATCGGTAAGTGAGTCATGAGTATTGTCTGTCTTTAGTCTAGGATATGTTGGTTAGGCTTCCGATGAAAATGTACTTCATGATGGGTCCTTTGGACATAACATCAGCTGTTAAGGAATCATAACGATTGCTCAAATCTAAACTGTTGAGAAGACATGTTCGATTATGGAGCTGCAAGATGAATTTCTCATACAAGTAAGTAATGTAATTGCCTCTGAGCTCATCATCTTGTTCCTTTATTCATTCTGTTGGTTGTTCTCTTAAGCATACATTAAAATGTGAAGTCTTTTGATAGGCTGAGTTACATCTTTCCTTCCACTGATCTAGTAGCTCACTCAGAGTTTATGTCGTTCCCAGCAATTTTCCTTATGTAACATCTTTCAGTGTTCGATTATGTCAAGAAATTATTTATGTTGTGGCTATCATAACTTGTAAGATCTTGTGTATCGGACTTATTTAGAGATTCTTTCTTGCTGGGAACAGATTTTCAATGTTGAGGCTTCCCACATAGCCACTGTAAGTTATCGTCACACTTTTGGCTTAATGTCTGGTTTCACAGACTCACTCCACATATGTACCATGGGATTGTGTCCCTTTGCCCCTTTGCCTTCACAAGCATCAGCAGCGATCCCAATGCTCCTATGCTACTGGTGTTGCTTGATTTCTACTATGTGCTTTGGGTGTTAAAAATAGGTTTAGCTACGACGTGGCTGTCAGACTTGAGCTAAGGAAATCAACAGAACATTTGCGTGCCTTTTTATTTGCAACTAGCACATGTCACGTGTACATTTATTTAGGCACTTATGCAAGTTTGGAAAATAGGTCCTCTGGTAGTATGACAGCTAGAATTGGTTTCTTTCATTTTATTCCAACCCTAAGCATTTCTTCATAACAACCTATCACTTTGATCTAATCTTTTGTTCAGGGTCTGCCGCTACTTCTGTACGATGTGTATAGACATTTCATCTTCTGCTTAGAAACATATCATTCTAAAGATATCTTTCTTCCTATTGTAATGCTAGCAGTCTTAAGAGAACCAGAAAGTGTCAGACAACAGTCTGAAGATGGTGCACGCTGAGATTGGATGACTGGCAGCTTGAAATCACCTCCCTAAAGTATAAACACATACTACTATGATGATTTAGAATGGCTGAAGTGCAATTGAAGTTTTTCCACTGTGGCATTTATAGATTCACAATATGGATGCTTAGCTGATTGTTTATTGCTTTCAGATTTTGATGTCATTTAACTTGGGACCTTGATCTGATGCCTTAACTTCCAATTGTTCTCCATGAATTGGTAAAAGATGAAATGCTTTTCCTCCTCCCAACGCAAATGAGCTATTGGATTTTGGCCAGCAAAGTTATTAAATGAGTGATGAAAATCTAATGGTTCTAATCACTAGATTTTTTCTATGGTATCTGTTTGCGTGCTTACGTGTTGGTTACATAGTGAATTGTGAAGTGTTTAGGGAGGCCCAGTATTATAGGATTTTTGTCCTGATAATTAGGTCAGGTTATGTGGTTCTGTAGTTTCCTTGCAAGGCTTCACAAGTGCAGGAGCATGCTCGCTTTCCCTTGTTGGTTTTGGACTTGGCTAGTTTACTATTCCTTAGTCTTCTTCATTAATAATTGGACTTGGTCCTTCATTCTTGTTTCAATCAATGCAGACTACACATCTGATTGCCGCTAATTTTGTTTTCCCAGTTAGCAATTTATTTATTTATTTGTTTTTTTTTTTGTGTGTTTGCAAAGAATTTAACATAGATGAATCTTGCTGGCTATTACTGTGGTATGTTTGACATTGAAATTGTCATTCTTATTCTCCAGGTTGCAAGAGCTTGGAAGTGGGAACTTCCCATCTCTCCTGCTTGATTTGTTGATTTTTCACTTCACAAGGGATGTTCTTGCTTTTTTGTAAATTTGAAGGTAATACTTACATAATAGATGTCTTAAATTGAACAATTATGTGTTGTTCTTGGACTAGAAATATATTAAATAATTCTTATTCTTTTCCTTCTAAATTAATTATGCTATGTGCATATTCACCTGAATTGCCTAATGTACTGGTTACTCAACAGGAGCTTGTACTAGATAATGTACATGGGGTCTGAGCTGCCCTGAGGGCTGCTAAACGAACTAAGTTGTCTTATGGTCTTATTTTACCTAAAATGAAGCGTTTTACACCTACCCCTCAAAGCTGGAAGAAAGCTGACAATCTGTGATCTGGAGCAAAGAGTACCAGAGTACTTCATTACGTAGTTGAACTAAGATTTGCCTGTTTGAATTCATTAACATATTTCTGGCAATTTGATTCATAAGGTTTACAATGTAATTGTGATCTTTTAAAGAAATGTATAGGTTGGTATCTGTTTACTGTAGCAGTGCATGGCTTGGGCTCAAAGCAGTTTGGATGATGCTCTACATGAAAATGTACCAAGAGGCTTGAACGCAAGAGGATCATTTTGCAAGAGCAGAAACAGATGATAATCTACCTCGCAAACATTCAGCTCCCCTTCAATCCCAAGGGTGCATAACTTGGCATTACTCGGGCTGAAACGTACAAGCGCATGCTCTTTGTAAAGGGGAGTGGATACTTCAATGGAATCTCTTGTTGTCAAGTCTTCAGTACTTGAATGCGAAAGCAGCATGATCCATAATGGTTTTAGGTGACAGGAAATTGTATTTGAATGGTAAAGACCAAGATTAAACTTGTATGAGAAGATCTGCCATTAGGGTTGGTCTCATGTATTTGAGCTGGCAGTTCTATTTGCATTTGGTGCATTGGACCCAATTTACTATGTGTACTCGCAATCCTTGCCAGGACTTTGTTGTATGAAACTTCGAAGAAGTTTAATAAAACAATGAAAATTTTTATGCCAGGGACTCTTTCAGAAAGTTTTCAGCGGTTGTGATCGCTGAGTCCTCATTTTTGCTTGATATAATCTGCTGCAACGAAGCTGTTTTGTCAATGATGCAGAGGAGGGGGAGGGAAGGGAGGGGTGGACGGGGGAGTTAACTAGGGAATAGTGCGTTCAATTAACAAGCTCTAGGGAATAGTGGTTTTGATTCAGTTTTCCCTCCCCTTCTTCCATTTTAAAAAATTTTTGCTTCTCTCCTTGCGCATTTATTAAAATTTACCCCTCCCCAGCTATGAAATATTTATAAATTAAAGAAAAGGAAATTTGACAAACTGTTGTAATGGTATTTGCATCCAAGTACATGTATTATGCTTCAAAATTTTCTTGAAATTCTACATATACAAGTACGTATTGCAATACAAGTTAGAGGAAAAAAAAAAAGGTACTGCAGCACAAGTTAGGGAAAAAAAATGTGTATTCGTTTATTGTGCAAAGCTAAATTCTAGAATTTTAACAACTTTTTATGATTACTTACTCTCTAACATGTAAGCATTCCTCACTTGATTAATTACACTTGTGCACTTAACTCCGAATATTTTGGGACCCGACTTTGCAGGTGGTCTTTGTTTTCATTGTAACCTTAACAAGTCAGCATGCCCCCCTGTGCTGTGTGAGTCCAGGAGGTCCACTGTCCGCAATCCATAGTCCACTCTCCGAAGTCCAAACTACAGATTCCAGATTCGGGGTGGGGGTAAAAATGCAATCTTCATTGTTCATGATTCATGGAACAGCAAGAACCTGCTACCCAAATTGTAGTAGAATAGGTGGAATAGCTGGGAGTCCCACTTCAAGAAAAAACACATCTTTGAATTTCTCCAATCTCAAACTCGCTAAATCTCAAGAAAACTATCAATTTACAAAACCCATCTCACTAGTCCCAGCTAAACCCAAAAGGTCACTTCTTTGTGGCAATTCTTCGAACGGTACTGTGAGTGCAGATGATGGTGGGAGTAGCAGCATTGCAAGTAATGCTAGCAGTGGCAGGAGTTGGATCGAGGCTGTTGGGGATGCTATTTCTACTGCTTTTCCTTTGTGGGTTGCTATAGGTTGTTTGCTGGGGCTGCTGAAGCCTAGTTCCTATAATTGGGTGCAGCCCAAATGGACTATCATGGGGATCACGCTAACTATGCTTGGCATGGGAATGACTCTCACTTTTGATGATCTTAGAGGTGCTTTGGCTATGCCTAAGGAGTTGTTCACTGGATTTGTGCTCCAATATTCGGTCTGCTTTGCTTCCTTTACTTTTCGGTCTTCCATTTTTCTGTCTTCTCGATATAGCAAACCAAGTATTGGATTGTTCTTAGAAGCTGTTTATGTGATGAATTGTTTGGAGGCTTGTTCAATACTGACTTTGTTTATTTAGCAGTTCTTTTGCAGTTTGAAAATTTCTAAATGGGATTTTCTTCTCATCAGTTTTCTTAATCTGTGGGTGTTGCTTACAATTACACTTACTTAGTGGTAGTATGTAGCCTCGGGTTTTGAGATCTTGTTGAAGAGGGTACACTACTGAATCAAAGTTGCGGATATAGTTATTTGTTAACTATCTATGGGTGGTTTGGACGAATCTTGGACTGTTGGAAAGCTAGCATTCAATCTCTATTACTTGATTCCAGTATTTCCTCCTATCCTATGCCACTTGTATAAAGCTTTCTTCTTCTTTTCCTTTTTTCCCCCCGGTAGCTTCAAGATTCAAAGTAGTGCCCTTGTATTATCTACTGACAAAAGTCAAACCGATAAAGTTGCATTAGATGCAGGCCTCAAAAGGGGTATGTTCATTGACATTGATGGTATAATTCCACACATTTTTTGAGCTTGAATTTTGACCAAAATTTGATATGGAGCAGCTATCAGAAACGTTGGAATAGGTTAAGAAGCATTTAAAGTTGCACTTATAGTTAAATGGATCAGTCATTCTTACTGGTCATGCCTTTGATATATGGAGGAGGAGTTGATGCTCTTTTAGTGTGAGTTTTTCTATTTGACACTTTTGATCCACGGTGTCATCCATTTTACCGTCTTGGAAGTCTCTTCCACAGAAGTTTTACATCTGTAAATGTGATGCTCCATGCACTCAAAAAATAACTGTAGGCTACCCTAGAGCACTGATGGAAGAAGATGTGCTTTCTGTATGTCTGGTTTCAATGTCATTTAGATTGTGTTTATGGGTGAAAGTGGTATAATTGATGGTTTGGAATAGAGGTGGCAAAATGGATAAATGGTTCATAATTGGTTTTGACTTAATGGATGGTGGATAAAATTTATCCAATCCATTTAAATCCATTTAATAAATGGATCTAAATGGATGGATCTAAATGGATTAAATAAAAACCAATTATCCATTTATAATCCATTTAAATATTTTACTAGTTCCCTTATTCCACATTTTTCTAGTTTAGAAGACAGCCCATGGAAATGTAGTAGTGAGCTGATTAGTCCAAACTTACGAAGACTCCCCAAGTCCTCGGACATGTTTTTCTGAGTCTCCGAGGCCAACACCCAACATCAACTGACCGCAATGGCGAGAGCGCTGCCCCATTGGCTGGCGAGCCGTTTCAGAAGTTCATTTCCTTTCTGTTTCATTTATTTGGTTTTTAAGTAAATGGATATATATGGTTTTTGTGGATAATCCATATAAATCCATTTAATTTAATGGTTTTACTTTGATTAACCATTTAAAACCAATACTATAAATGGATAATCCAATCCATTTAATTATGGATTATATGGATGGATAAATGGATCTCAATCCAAATTGCCACCTCTAGTTTGGAACACCAATGTTACTACAAACTGTATGATATTTGGATTCAGGCTCTGTGCTGAACTGCTTCTGTTCTTGGTGAGGGAAAATTATCTCACGTTCTCTTTTTCTTCAAAACCAAATACTTGGTTTGTCAGAATGTAAATGTGGCTATTACATAGTGCGGTTCAAATACCTCCTAGTACTAGTGTTTAAACTGAGTACTCCAGGGATATCTGGTTAGTTTGATTTCCAATTTGCCTGTAAGGCTTACAGGACTTATTTACTCCTTGCAGATAATGCCACTATCTGGATTTTTTGTCAGCAAGCTCTTGAATTTGCCATCCCATTATGCGGCTGGCTTAATTTTGGTTGGGTGTTGCCCTGGAGGTATGCCTCCATGCCCTTGGATCTTGTGCATAAACTTTTTTGTGGCAGTATTCTTTGTCTTCCCTGTTTTCCTGATCCTTAAAGTTATGTATTGCACGGTAGGTAAAAATATAGAAGGTGCTTATAACAATTTTTTTTAAAAAAAATTTTACATGCCTTGGTTGGGGATCTTAATGGCATTCTTCTGTAACAGCGGAAATGTGGCCCTTTCAGTGTTAATGACTGCTGCTAGCACCCTATCTGCTGTGGTTGGTAACTCGTCTTGCTGTTTCAATATAGTTTTTTTTTTCCTTATTTTTTTAAATTTGATTTCAATGGATACTTTGACTGTTCCATTTGAGAATCAGCGCAACAAATGAATGATTATTGGAATTGCTTCATTTAACCTTCAAGCATGAGACTCCTATTTACTGTACTAAAAGTAGAAAGGAAAAATTCTCATTCCGATTTGCGAGTTCTTATTTGAAATATAGCTGAAAAGTGCTGTAGTTGAAATGCTAGTCAGATTTGATGCCTGAAAAGGATTATGTATTTTCATGAAGGCACGTCATCAGAACTAATGAAAGCTTTACTGACCGTTTTAAAATTTTGTCTCAGGTTATGACCCCTGCTCTTACTGCAAAACTTGCAGGGCAATATGTTGCTGTAGATGCACCTGGATTATTTATGTCAACCTTGCAGGTAATTCTAATTCCCTGCAACAGCAGGAATTGGTTCTTCGGTTGGTGTTTTCCTGATCATTCTTTCTTTCAGGTTGTGCTTCTACCTGTTCTAGCTGGCGCGTTCCTTAATCAGTATTTCCAGAGCATTGTTAAAATTGTCTCTCCCTTAATGCCACCCATTGCAGTGTTAACTGTGGCAGTTCTGTGTGGAAATGCAATCGCACAGAGTTCTTCTACAATCCTAATGTCTGGTCAACAAGTGGCTTTAGCCACAGTTCTTCTTCATGCATCTGGATTCTTCTTTGGCTATGTGCTCTCAAGGATGCTGGGCCTTGATGTATCTTCATCTAGAACAATTTCAATTGAGGTTGGCATGCAGGTATGTGCTTATGCAAGTTTTATGTAACTAGATTGTGATTCTTTAAACTGTGAGATTCTACAATGGAGCGTGTAGCGCCTTTTAGAAATGGACTAGTTACTTGTCATGGTGTGAAACATTTACCCAGAATTATTCCTACAAGTTTGAGATAATAATGTATATGGGTAGTATCTGAGTAGTGCTCTGCATTATGGGAGTATTGCTTTACCCTTAAGACGTTACCAGCTTAGGTCCAGTACTGTACTAAAAATTGGTGTGTTAGAGCATTTCCAAAATGTCTAAAACCTTCTACCTGTTAACCTTGGGGCTTCACTTGCTGCTCAAAAGAGTAGTGCAGATGAAGATTCAGCAAGATCATAAAACTTTCTACTGTGAATTTTATCTAACCTGCTGGTACTGGTTTACATTTGATGTTATAGTTGCAAGTCAATGGTGAAGCTTGGGCTTCTGGCTGATGAATGAATGTTAGTATGAGCTTTGAGATTCATTGTGATTTTCTGTTTAGGAAAGAGGGCTAGAAAAATATTACCAAAAACACAAGTGGTAGTAGTAAGATGTAGCCTAATAGTGGTGTCGTGCTTTTAAAAGAGAAATGAAAAAGCAAATGAAAGAAAAAAGGAAGTAAGAGCAAATTAGTATAAAACTTGACTTTGATTTATTGACTGAAACAAGAAGGTATGGCGTATCATTTTTGTACCATCTGACAACGGGGTAAGCAAACGCTGAATGGCGACTGCAGCTAAGTGTACAGAATTTTGCCATTTCAAAGATTTGACTAAGTTTTAAGGGA